CGCTGAGCTACTTCGTGGGGGGGCCCTGGACTCCAGCCTCACGGGGGAGGGAGGGAGGGAGGGAGGGAGAAGCAGAGCTCACCCTCCATCCCCCCTCCCCCACACTCTGGGCATCATTTTGTGCGCTTCCGTCCCATCCCTTGTCCTCTCTCGCCCCACCCCCAAACTGAGCCGCCCCCCCGTCTCTCCCGCCTTCCCCTCTCCGGCCCCACCACAATACTTTCCTCGGTGCAGGAAGGCCAAGATGCAGCAGGGCCTTATGGTCCTTCTCCCGGGGCTGTGTGGGTCGTGCGCCATTAGCACCCCTGGGGAGGGGGGGGGGGGTCACTGCAGTCTGACAGCCTCCGGCAGATCATGAGGGCAAGCAAGGGCTGCCCCAGTGCTTAGTTCTTACGGCCCCTCTCTTACATCCCCAGGGAAATGCTGGCTGCCACTTTGGGGTCAGGAAGCAATTGGCCGGGGATACTGGAGGTTCTTTGCCACCTTCTGGGCATGGAGCAGGGGTCACTGGGGGTGTGGAGGGGGGGGGATTTGTGAATTCCCTGCATTGGGCAGGGGGGTTGGACTCGATGACCCTGGAGGTCCCCCTCCAACTCTCTGATTCTATGACTCTAGGAATGGAACGAGAGGGGCCAGGAGGCAGCGAGGCCTCCCCCCATCCCCCATGACAGTCTCTTTCACCCCACCCAGCAGCCCCTTGGCTCAGGGCTGTGCTCTAGGAAAAGCACCAATCCCGTAGTGCCGAATCTGGATTCCCAACAACAAGAAGAGGAGATTGGATTTATCCCCCGCCCTTCACTACCCAAGGGAGTCTCAGAGCGGCTTCCAAACTCCTTTCCCTTCCCCCCCCCACAACAGACCCACCCTGTGAGGGAGGTAGTGGGGCTGAGAGAGCTCTGACAGGAACTGCTCTTTTTCAAGGACAGCTCTTATCAGAACTACGGCTTGCCCAAGGTCACACCAGCCAGGTGCAAGTGGAGGAGTGGGGAATCAAACCCGGTTCTCCCATATTAGAAGAAGAAGAAGAGATTGGATTTCTACCCCGCCCTGCACTACCCAAGGGAGTCTCAGAGCGGCTTCCAAACTCCTTTTCCCTTCCCCTCCCCACAACAGACACCCTGGGAGGTAGGTGGGGCCGAGAGAGCTCTTGACAGAAACTGCTCTTTTTCAAGAACAGCTCTTATCAGAGCTACGGCTTGCCCAAGGTCACACCAGCCAGGTGCAAGTGGAGGAGTGGGAAATCAAACCCGGTTCTCCCAGATTAGAGTCCATGCACTTCACCACTGCACCAAGCAGCCCCCACCTCTTCTAATGTCATTCCTCAGAAAGAATCCTGCAGGGCCCCCCCTCCAGCCACTGGAGTCTTGCTCGGCTGCTCCAGGCATTGGGGGGGGGGATTCACGCCCATCTCTTGAAACCAGCTGACCCTGAGCCCTCGGCCAGCCCCTGAGGAAATCCCCCTGGGAAAAGGTCACTGGATTCTCTGGAGGGCCCCCCAACGTTCCCTCTAAGCTCCACAGTGTTGCTAGCGGCATTACAGTTGTGAGCGAGTCTACATTTGACTATCGCATAAATTAGTTTCTTAGAAGACTATTTCCATGACCTTGTAAAAATCTCAGAACGAATTCTCTTAAACTACAGTTAAACTGCATTTTAAGAATACTTTAAACATTATAAGAGAAAGCAGAATCAAGTCAAATTTCATTACAGAAAATGTTGTCCTCTATGGCGTAGACCTGACCTCCGAAGAGCAGGTCTACCCAGCCCTTTCCACTATATTGGTAGACCCGGCCTTGGAACACCACCCTGCGCTGAGCCTTAGGAAACATACCAGCGCTTGGGAGGGAACTCTTGCAGTCTACTTTGGTTTCTTTAAGTGAAATATGACAAATGTACAGGTCAAGTAGAACAGAGGTGGAACCATCACTGTCAGAGCCCTGCCTAACCTAACAAACAGGAAGTTGCTTAAATGTTATCAACCTACCCAAATGACTTATTTATTCAAAAATTTATATCCCACTTTTCCCTGTGACTCAAAGCACAAATCATACCGAAAAGCATAATCGGGTGTACAAAAAAACCCACAACGTAGCCTATGGGGACCATTATAGTCAATGGGTCCTATAAGATATAATGGAGAATCGATCTGGGGGTATCGGGGGCTCGGGGCGGGGGGCTGTTTTTTGAGGTAGGGGCACCAAATTTGCAGCATAGCTGTTGGTGCCTAGAGATAT